TGAACCTCCCACAAATGTTTTAGGTGTCTATCTTCTACTGGTATATTCTACATCTCTAAAGATATTATGTTCAATGAATCTAGGTTCCCATATCTTTATATCTTTCCTAAGTCCACTACTATTCCCTCATCCAACAAACTTGTCACTTCATCCCCTTTAAGTTTTAATCATAATTCCTCATTCTCAAATCCTACTTCATCTTTTCATTTAAAAGCTTCTTCCTCTAAGACCAACCTACGCCAATCACCTGAGCTTCCTGAACCTATCAACGCCTTCACAAATGAATCCATCAATGAGTCCACTTCAAAGTCTCCTGTATTTCCCACCTCTTATAATCTCACATATGGAACTACAAATGACGCATCTCTAATTAAAGTCTCTTAATCTAGTCCCTTAACCCATTATAATCCTTCAAATCAAACAAGTCCCTCTAACCAATCCAATCTCACATGTTCCTCTTCACCACCTTATATTGTTCAGTCTATACCTTCCTTAGCGATTCATGTACCATCCAAACTAGTTAACCTTCAAAATATGCAAGCCGCCATAACCAAGTTTGGGTTTACTAAACTAAGGTTTCTGCTATTAACTTTGAGCCAAAGACTACTAAGCAAGTCTTTGCTAACTTATAGTAGAAGTAAGATATGCAAGTTGGATATGATGCCTTTCTCCATAAAAAAAACTTGGTCTTTGGTTCCCTCACCCCATAATAGAAAATCCATTTGGCCCTAAATGGGTTTTTAGGGCCAAGGAAAACCCTGATGGAACAATTAAATTTTTTAAGGTCATGCTTGTTGCCAAAGACCTTCATCAAAAACATAGTTTGGATTTTTTAGATACCTTTTCTTCTTTTGTTAATCCTATCATTATCAGGGCCATTCTCTCAATTGTCATTACTCATTAATGGACAATCAAACAACTTGATGCTAATAATACTTTCTTAAGTAGGCTTCTTAATGAAGAGATCTACACAGAGCAACCTCAAGAGTTTGTAAGTTCCAATCCTTCACTTGTCTGCAAATTGCACAAGGATCTTTATGGCCTTAAATAAACCTTATGCAATGGTTTGAGATACTTTACGTTGTCTTTCTCAATCTTCATTTCAAGTCAAACAAGTGTGATCCATCTCTCTTCACATACTTCTTCAATGGCCACACCATGTATCTCCTAGTGTATGCAAATGACATAATTTTGACTGGCAGTTCATGACCCTGCTTAAAGATGTTCTCGCTAAGCTGATTCTTGTCTTCTCACTAAAGCATCTTGGTGATCTTGATTATTTTCTAGGTGCTGAGGTTAAATAAGCTTCTCATTTTCTCCTTCTCACTTAATACAAATACATTAGGGACCTTATTCAGAAAACCTACATGATTGAGATGTATAGATGTCAACTTGAGATGTAAGCCAACTGATCGTCACTATAAATGCAATCAGTGACTCAATCTTTATAACTAATAAAAAGTTTAATCAACGAAAAATTAGTTATAAGTGAAATGAACAACACAATTACCAATTCTATCAACCCTTTAAAGAGTTTAGAGAGACATTTTTCATTTAAAAATCAATTTTGTAAGAATGAATCAGATCAAATTCTAATTTTAATATGATATCAGAATCTATCGATCAAACTAATAGTGTTGGTGTGAGAGAGGTGTATTAAGAAAACATCAAATCCAATATTTGTTAGATATAGAGCTTCTAAAAAATTTATATAAAATGAGATCTATCACCTCAAAAGCGAATGTCAAATAAAAATAGAGAAGGTTCTTCTCTTTTTCTTTCCAAATACCAAAGTTATGTTTACGACCCACAATCTATTGACAACAAGAAACAAGTATTCTCCAAATTTTGTGTTTTAACACTAATAGCAATGTTTTGAGCAAATGATACTAAGTTTTAGGTGTGTGAAAAATTGGTCCAATAGGACATAGAAAAAACAAAGACAAGACAAAAATGTTAGGATATGTTGAAAACAAATTTATCCATCATTGAAGGAGACCATCCTCTATGTTATAAGTAGTCACTAAAAGTCTAAAGAGAGTCTCACACTCTTTCATTGCTTAATGCTAGCCACTAAGAGTTAACATTTTAGTTTGTCTAAATATAAAAACAAATAAAAAATTTCAACAAAAAGATATGTAAAAAATTTGGACAGGATCTCCTATTTTGAAAACAAGCATATTAGTTATTGTTTGACTGTTTTTGTATCTCTATGTTTGAATATTTTAAGAATGTGAAAACTAATGGATGCAGGCTCTTATCCTATTATATTCCAAACCATAATACTTTAAGATTTTCTATTTGGTTTCTTCTACTTTGGATCTTTGTCTAAAAGAATGACAACAGAATAGAACCCAACAAAGAAAACGATGATTGGGACTTCATTTTTTATTTTATAGGGTCTTTTTTTTATTGAATATTCATCCACTTGAAATTGAACTATGATTAAATTAATTTTCATAGCTTGATTGATGTTAAGATTGAAAGGTAACTGTAACACTATATAACTTTACCAACTTCCATAAAGGTTTAAATTAAAACTAGAGATTAGGTATACGAACTTGAATTTTATTGGCTTATTCATATGCTTGTCACAGGTTTCGACTATTTAATAAAAAGCTACATTTTTTGTTTAGGTTTAATTTATATATATCTTTAATTTTTTTTTATAAAAAAATTATTTTTTTAATTAATTGAATAATTAATGTATCTGAGTTGTATCATAGACTAAATACACTGATTATTCAATGAATCTAAAAAATTAATTTATTTATATATATATATATATATATATATATATATATATATATATATATATATATATATATATATATATATATATATATATATATATATATATAATCAAAGATAATATTTTATTTATATAAATCATATACATTAGTTATTAAATAGATTTCTTTACCAACTTTTGTAAATGCGAATATTAACATCAACTTTTATAATTCTTAGACTTTACACGACTTTCATATTTTTGCAGAGCAGACCAAATTTTTTGGTACATACTTTTATTTATGCTCACCCTGTTTTTTTTTTTTTTTTTTTTAATTTGCAAAGTAGATTTACATGGATCCAACATGCTGTTTGTCATTTTAGATTTTCATATAACTCAAATCCATCTATTTTTATTTAGATTCAATTCATATAAATTATTTTTTGAAGATTGAAATTATATTTAACCAAATTTTATTATGAGCAAACTTATTTACTTTTAAATTAATATATATTCAATTAGATATTAATGAAACTCTAAACCATTTATGACTATGTAGTTACTTAAACATTAATTAATCTCTTATCAACTATAAGTCAAAAAAAAATTCCTATTTATTATTATGTTGTCATTCTGTCAAAGAATGACACTCTTCCTTTATACCTATTGGTTGTTAATATAAAGCATCATCAATAAAAATAAAGATTTAGTAAAAGAGGAAAAAAAAAAAGACAACTGTGAAGAAAAAGAAAGAAAATGATGAAAATAAAACAGTGTTTGCTAAAAATAATTATAAAAAAAATTCACATAATAATAATACTATTAACTATCCCTATCAGTAGAAAAGACCTCATAATTCCCCAAAAGCACATATTTCACTTTATTCCATTCCATGGTAATATCTCACAAAAAATCCACTTGAAAGTGATTAAATTTTAATCCACGGTCTAAAATTAACCTGTCTTTTAAGAAAAAGTAACAGCCATGTGAAGTTATCAAATTCCACCTGTTTCTAAAAAAATTCTGTTTCATTTGTTTATCCATAGTGGTTGGATTAGGTCTTTTCTTGAGTCTTTTGATTGTGACTTGTTTTATTTATTTAATTAAATGACCAAATTACCCTTTGATTATGATTGTGACTTTTTAGAGCAAAATCAACACAAAAAGCTATAGTCATAAGCCAATTACTCATTGCATGCAAGAATTGAAAGTGATAACAGAACAGAATAAGCTCTTTCAAAACAAGTAAGCCAAACACAGCAAAGAGAGTTTCAGAATTATTTTTTTGCTTTTTTTATGTCAGTGGTAACCCTTTAAACAGTAAATGTACTCCTCACTCTGAAACCTCCACTGAATTTCAGACATAACATCAGGTGTTTTTTTTTTCTTCAAAAAATAATATTAAAACCAACTAAAAATAATAATTTCAGTTTAATTAATAAAAATAATAAGTAAATAAATAATTTATTATTTATAAATTTGATATTTCATTTACCAATGCTAATTATTCTTTCATGCATTAACTTGAATTTCAGTTTCATTGTCCTTTTTTGAATTTTGAAATTTCTGTGGGGTTTGTATGATGAGCAAATATTTGTCTTGAAGTGAGTAAGAAGATACTACAAATTAAGAGAGAGAAAGTTTTAGAGAGAGAGAGGGTGTGTAGTAGTAGTAGCTGTTTCATGGTGCTTTCAACTTTCTATGTCGTTTTATGACTAAGGATTGGGTCCACCGACCTGTAGGGATTACCCTCTCTCACTCTTTCTTTCTCTTTCAATATATATATTTTTTATTTTTCATTTTTGTGAAAATATAAAATAATTCATTTATGACAAAGAGAGAGATGAAAAAGTGAGGAAAATCTGGAAAACTTTTTGAAGAGGAAAAAAAGGCAGAGAATAATAATAAAGAGTGAAGAAAAAAACTGTTATTGGTATATGTGTTGATGTATCTGCATGACACCAAATCATCAATGAAACAATCAGTTCAAGTTTCTTCTCATTTAAATCATCAAAACCATCTCAAGCAAGAAATGGCTTGATTTGCTTTTTCTTGCTTTTTCATCTTTGTTCTATATATCTCTATTGTTCTTTGGTTTGTTCTATATCCCATCCATTTTTTGTAAAATTTTTGTGAGATTTGAGATTACGATGAATTGGAGAGGATTCAATTTGCATGTTGGATTTTTCAGAATTGTGATTGTTTTGTAAGGTTAGAGAAGTTGAAAATTGCTTTACCAGTTGGTTGAAGAAGGTTGTTATATATAGATATGGCTGCTTCATCTTCTTCGGCATCACTTTTCGGATTCAGAGAAGAGGATCCAAATCAAATGAATCAACAGCAACATTCCTTGCCACCGTCATCAACAACTGCAGCTCCAGCTACTGCTGCAACATCTCAGAAGAAAAAGAGAAACCAACCTGGAACACCAAGCAAGTTTCTCAACTATTTTATTAGTTTCATTTATATCTTACATAATTAAGCTCTAATTGCATGTTTGGATTCGCAGTATAAGATTGACAGAATCACGGTGAACGAGTCTGATACAAAATCACGGTGGCAACGTGATTCTGCTGAACTATCTGCGGATAGATCCATACTTACACCAAGCAATTTTCTATCAATAAGATACATTTTTTAAAAATAAAATCCTTTCATGGATTTTATCTATTTGAGTATTTTTCATTAATTATACCAATGTTTTTTGGGTCTATTTTTTGTTGAGGAAGTTTTTTTGTGGAACCCTAATTTATAAACATAAATGTAAAACGGAATGAAATGAATCTCAATGTCAGTTTGTTTGACATGGAAATCAACCTTTGTCTTGACTCTTGAAGCTTCATTTTCTCAATTAATTTTAATTTTTTTTTTGTGTGTGTTTGTTTGAATTTTTGTAATAATTTATTGTTTGGCTATTTTCAATGGAAACAGATCCAGATGCAGAGGTAATAGCACTATCTCCCAAGACCCTAATGGCAACAAACAGGTTTATCTGTGAGGTATGCAACAAAGGGTTCCAAAGAGAGCAAAACCTACAGCTCCACAGAAGAGGACACAACTTGCCTTGGAAGCTTAAGCAGAAGACAACAAAAGAGCCTAAGAGAAAGGTCTATCTCTGTCCTGAGCCCACATGTGTTCATCATGACCCTTCAAGAGCACTCGGTGACCTCACCGGAATTAAGAAACACTTCTCTCGCAAACATGGCGAGAAGAAATGGAAGTGTGATAAGTGCTCTAAGAAATACGCTGTTCAATCCGATTGGAAAGCACATTCCAAAACATGTGGCACAAGAGAATACAGATGTGACTGCGGCACTCTCTTCTCCAGGTAACATATTACAACTTCACAAACTATATACTACATTTCATGTTAATACAGACGAATCGAAGTAACAAGGGCTACGTTAATCTGTGTCATTTTGATGTCATGTTATCATTTTTAGGGCATATTGTTTATGTTAGATTCTTCAAGTGACTATAGAGAGGAAAAAGACTAACATGCTTTTCAATATTATCTACTGCATTTGGTTGGTAATAATGATATTTTTTTACATATGACAGCAATAGCAATTGATTGAATAAGATTCTATGGTTTTGGTATGTTTTGGTTTGTCATGTTTCAATATTTGTGTATATTTGGTGGGCAAAGGAAATGGATGGAAACATCTACCCACGTGAATGATCTCTGAAATTTTTCTTCAAGAAACAAAAAAAACACACGGAGGAAAGAGCACCACCTTATAACTATGCAATCTTTTCTCTCTCTAGTTGTAAAAAAAAAAGGATATTAAGGAAAAAACACTTCACCTTTTTTCTGAATTTTTCTTGGAAACTGTGCAGTGTTTTTAGCCCATTTCTTTTTCTTACTATTCACGTGTTGCTATGCCATGAAGCTGTGTGGTGTTGTTACGATCTTTGTTTTCTTCTTGGTTGGATACTTGTGTTTGTGTTCAGTACACTGCCCTCTAGCAGGTGCTCCTTTTCATGATAACCTTACGATTAAATCAAATTATTCAACTCTCTCAATCTTCCTTTTCATATATAATTATGAATTCGCAGCTTATTCAGAATTATGTATGAATTTTTTTTAATATTTATTTATTTAAGATATTAGTATATGCCGTTGCGATGATGAGAGTAATAGATTTGTATCAAAAATATTATGTTTTATTTATTGACCAGTGATGAGTCTTATAATTAAGTTTTGGTTGTGAAATTAATATCATTCTAATTAATTGTGCTTTCTTTGGGAAGTTTTTTTTAGTTATACCATTTAAACATTTGTAGAGGTATTCAAATTATCATTTTGTGTAACTATACTCTTTTTAATAAATACACGCAAAATTTTGTCCACTTGTTAATTAGTTAATAAAGTATCACATTCTTTCATTTTGATGTCAATTATTTTTTACTCTTAATTTAGAGTTTTAGGGTCTGTTTGGTTCAAATGAGGGGGAGGGGAGGGGAGGGATTTTAATGAAGGGGAGGGGAGGGGAGGGGAGGTGAAGGAATTTTTTAATCAAATAAGTGTTTGGTTCAAAAGAGAGGAGGGGAGGGGAGGGGAGAGATTTTAATTAAAAATGTGTTTGGTTCAGAAGCGGAGGGGAGGGGTTTTATTAATAATTTACATTTTTATCCTTATGATCTTATATAAGTCATACGATATTAAAATGTGAAAAATTCATGCGTATTTTTGTTGGTAATAAAATTTCTAATATTGAGTGATTAAAAAAATATTTATTTGTCACATAAAGTTAAAAAATTGAGTATAATTGATTCAACTTATAACTTTCCAACATAAATTAAACTATATGTCAATAACATCGTTTAAATTATGATGAATCATATAACAAAACAAATATATAAAATAACTTATTACTAAATATTAATGGTTCAAAATATTTAATAAAATGAATAAACAAAAATAAATAAAATGATATGGTTTACAATTTGATATAAAAGAAAATATGATAGAGTACATAACAAAATTAAAAGAAAAAAACGAATATAATGAAACATAGTTTTTTTATAAAAAAAAGACAATGATTATGATTTATATTAATTATAAAAATTATAAAATAATTTGAAGGTGGAGAACAATTATAATAAGTTGATGAAAACAATCGAGAAAAAATAGTAACACAAAAGATAACAAATAGTTTTGAAATAATAAAATTAAACTGAGGATATTTTAGTAAATATAATAAATTTTAAATATTAAAACTCATATTCCCTCCCCTCCCCTCCAAATCCCCCCAATTCGGAGGGAACCAAAAAGTGTGTTTTGGAGGGATTTTGCTCCCCTCCCCTCCCCTCCCCTCCCCTCCTAAAATTTGAACCAAACATATTTAATTAAAAATTTCCCCTCCCCTCCCCTCCCCTCCCCTCCATCTACCCCGAACCAAACACACCCTTATTGTCTTTTACTTGAAAAGGCCAAGTTCCACTTCTAGTAATTTATGTGTAATTCAGGATACGTACGTGACAGCTTTTAGATACTACTTTCATATTTACAGTGTCTATAGCCAACCATTTCATCAAAAAAGAAATTTGTGAAAACTTCAAATATAAAATTACGTCTTAAACTCCTTTCTTTCTATATATATATAGAAATATTAGCCCCTAGTATATTTTATTTTCTTTTTAGTGATTATTTACTGAAAAATTAATGATTAATTGAGTAATATTATTTCATGAATTTTTTAATTAAGTGATTGAAATCGCATGTTGTTAATAAATTTTTAATATCAATGCAGGAGAGACAGTTTCATAACTCATAGAGCCTTCTGCGATGCATTGGCTCAAGAGGGTCCAAGACAGCCACCAATAACCCTAACTGGTGCCATTGGATCCCATCTTTTCGGAGGTGGCGGCAGCGGTGGAGGTGGCGGCAACAACAACAACAGCATGGGCTTAAACTTATCCCAAGTTGCTCCACAAATGGCTAACATGCAACATCAGCAAGACCATCACAGCAATTCAGCCACTGAAATCCTGCGACTCGGTGCAGCCGCGAGTCGAACCGGACAATTCGACCACCACAACATTCTCCAGTCCACTTTCAGACCTAATTCCTTCTTCAACAACAACATGCATGAGGCAAACCAAAACTATATCCCTGACCAAGGATTAATGATGCAGCAGAATAACAACAACAGCGGCAATAACAGCAATCTCTTCAATATTCCGAATTTCCTTTCGAGTAACAGTACTACTAATACTAACAGTAGCAACAACTCATTCTCTGAGCACTTGAATATGAATAATGAAGGGACAAATTTCTTCACTGGATCAGGTGGAACAAGTAGTGCTCCATCACTTTTCAGCAACTGTTTCCCTCAAGGAGGTGGAAACAGTAGCAACAACAACATGAATGCTGTTACTGCTATATCTTCAATGTCAGCAACTGCACTTCTTCAGAAAGCTGCTCAAATGGGTGCAACTTCAAGCAATGGAAACGGTACTACCGCAACTTCGCTTCTCAAGAGCTTCGGTAACAACACTCCTGCTACTAATTCAGCGTCTTCCGGTGGTGTTACTACTGGTGCTGGTGTTGCTGGTGCCAGTGCCGGTGAGCATAACAGAATTCTCCAGATGGGAGGTGGAAGCGTAAACTATGGCTTTGGCGGCGGGAATAATGAACAGACTAATTTGCAAGATTTGATGAACTCTTTTGCTGCTACGGGAAATGCTTCAATATTTGAAACGGGAAGAGGAGGTTTAGGGCTTGGAAGTGGAGGTGCAGATAGCAGTCAACTAACTCGTGACTTTTTAGGAGTTGGAGAGATAGTAAGAAACATGAGCGGTGTTGTTGGAGGACAAAGGGAACAACAACAACAACAACAGAATCATCAACATGCAGCAGCTGCATTTAACTTGCCAGGTTCCATGGAAGGAGATCAAAGAAACATTCATGCTGCCCAGTCCTTTGGAAGCGGAGGAAGAGGAGGAGCTGGTGGTGGAGCAGGAGCAGGAACTTTTCACTAATCATTATCATCCTTCATAAAGGTACCTACCCAAATAGTCAACACTCAAATTCAATTTTCTATAGTAACCTAAAATCATATGTTTTACTATTATTTTTTTATCACGTTACTTTCTTCGCAAGAAATCGAATTATAAATCAACAACTTACATTCATTTAACTCAACTAACATATATTCATTTGTTTATAATATTATTAAGGATATATTTTTTAAAAAAAAATAAAGATATTATTATTTATGAAATGAAACTTATAGGAGTAGTTATTTAAGTAGGTATATATAAGAAAGATGCTATAATAAAAGAATTTGTTTTTAGTGTAAAAAAAGTGAGGGTGTGTGGTCTGACAAGTTGTCTTGCATGGTGCAGACAGCGACGTTGTGCAGAACTAATTTGTTTCTTCTACTGTCTTCTCCTTTTCATTTTTTTCACTTTCTTATTTTGGTTGGCTGGCACATCCACAGTGAGTCACGAGTGCCAAAAACTTTTTTCTGAACAAATTATTTCTCCTCTTATCAACATGTTTCTTTCTTGCCATGTCACAGAATGTGCTTCAATTAATTTTTTATTTGATATAAAAATATTTTTCAATATTTTCTTACAATTTGTATTATGCACGTATCTCTTCATGTGTGTTGTTTTTCTTTTCTCTACAACTTAGGTCAATTATTTAGATTGGTATCTATGGTATCATCATACACGTTTTTAACTGCATTCTCTTGTACTATTTTTATAATATCATTATGTTTGTTCTTATGTCAAATAATATTCCATGAGTGCAGAGTACTTATTAGTCCTTTTTCTTAATATGCATGTATATAATTTTCGAATTATATAAGTGATGTTTGCTTAAATAAAGTAATGATTTCATTTTTGCAGGGTTTTCAACATGCTCCATTGGAACTCGATCTAATTAAAGATTTTGAGAGTGCTGTGAAGAATTTGTGGAAATTCCTGATTTTTATTGAAGCTTCTTCAAACTCTGTTGAATCCCCCTCCCTCTAAAATAATTTTCTGATACATATTAGCTTCAAGTTTTTTTTTATGGTTTATCTAATAGATTTTGTTATTGGGTAATTGATATTTATCATATATATTTAAATGCGACTATAAACTAGTTATAACTTTTTCTTTATATATAATATAGACCAGTTATGACTTATTTCATATCTTTTTGGTATATATATAAAAAGCTTCGGAATGACATGAGTTTATTATTAGGTTAGAAGAAGTCATGGTAATGGTTGTTTCAATAGTGGTGATATAAATTATAGTTAATTGTTCTTAAGTATTAGTTATTGATAAATTATTTGTTGTTATTTATTTATTTTGTTGAGAATTTTGATTTATATTTGAATGGTTATGATTGATTTATAATGTTTAATGAGAGATTTTAACTCTAATTCGTTTAATTGTTTAATCAATGTCTCATTAGAAATTTAATATAAGATGAAATTGTGAAACTGAGTGACCCTATTTAGTTGTACTATGGTTAAAGATTGGAGGAGTTTGACACTTTTAAAAGTGGTGTTTTTTTTTCTTTCTAACCGGTGTTATTGGATAGCTTCTCTTCTAAGAAAAATCTTCTTAGGCTTAGAATCTTACTCCATCCCGATGAGGTGAGGTGTGTTATGTGTTTGGGTCAGGTCGAATAAGCGGATCACTTTTTTGTCCTTTGTGATTTTGTTTATGTCATTTGATACAAAGTTTGTAAGTGGGTGTATAGAGTTGCGACTATTCATATGTTGATGTTAAACCTGCTTGATGTTTTTAAGGGTTGTGATAAGGATAAGAAATAGGTTGTAGGTATGTTATCAATTTGACATGCGGTGATTCACATTATTTAAAAAGTAGGAAATGATATTTTTTTAGGAAAAGATATTATGTGAATCATGGGGTGAACACTATTATTTGTCTTACTTGAAAGTAGCGTCAGTCTCATTTGTTGGCCATTTTTTTCTCTCTTAAGGATTAGGAGCACAATTCCATAGAGGCGATCATAATCGTTGGATCCTTATGTGGGATCCTTGCCACTTATGGAAGAGATTAAAATTGTTGGATCCTTACGTGGGGTTCTTGTCTCCCATAGAGGCGAGCAAAATTGCTAGATCATTATGTGGGATCCTTGTTTCCCATAGAGGCGAACGAAATTGCTAGAACATTACGTGGAATCCTTGTTGCCCATAGAGGCGATCATAATTATTGGATCCTTATGTGGGATCCATGCCGCCTGATAACCATGCATTTTAATTTGTTTTATATCCATTTCATGTTTTTATGTAGTGTTATGTTGGTGTTTTGTCTTTGTTTCAGGTATTTTCCAAGTAGGAGTTGGCACATGAGAAAACAAAGCAAGCATGGCCAAAAACAGAGAAAAAAGATACTTTAGCATGAAGAAAGTCAAAGGAGGGCACTCTTGAGCTTGTGGCGTTTGCCGTAGAGGCATGACGTTCTCCATGGCCCCTTCATCAGCCACGTCACTCATGTTACACTCATGGCATTTGCTATGAGGCCAAGGCATCCGCCATGGACTTCCCAGGCAGAAAAGTAGCAACTAACTTGCTCAGTCTTCTCCTACTTCACCATGACTTTCTCAACTGCTCCTACATGAATTCAACCCAATTTCAGAGCTAGAGAACATTATATATAGTCTTAGTTTTTAGGATTTTGGTATCCAAGTTTTCTTGTATCATGTAGGCAGAAAAATCAGTCATTGTAAAAGTGCTTAATTGCTCACATCGAGTAATAAGCACACTATAGCTTTAAGATTCAGCAGTTTCATGTTTGTACTTGGATCGTTCATCATTTAAGCTTGTCTCCATTTTAATTCCAGAAGTTTTATTTTCAAGTTTTCCGATTTCCAATTCTTGCACTGTGTTACTTTCAGTACGTATTTCTCCTCTTTAATTTTTCTGCACTTATTTGTTTTAAGTTTTAATATTATAACACATACACACAGACACACACACATAATTGGAGTTGAATTTCTAAACATATTGTGTTGAGAAAATTATATATATTTGCATGCTAATGTTGTTGCTACTTGTTATCATCATCGTTATTATGCTTAGAATTTCATTTTAGATGCATATTGAATATAGTATGAATATTATGTCAAATCACTTTGGCTAAACCGTTTAGAATCTAGAATAATATAAGGACTGTCATCTAGACGGTACTCGCATCTAAGTCGGAAATTGTCGGTTAAATTTGCGATTTTTTTGGCAGAATTTTACATCGTTTTAAATAGAAATTTAATTACCGTGAAAGCGTTAAACTTAGAGGTATCAGTTTCGTTTCGAAAGAGAGGACCCCGTATTTGAGTTAGGAAATAAAAATCAGTTTTTAATTTAATTCACTTGGGACAACAGGGTATATTTTAAATTGCAAAATAATTATTTTCAAAAATAGAGTTTAGAGGTGTAAGTTTAGACTCTGGTGCTACGTGAGCGAGAGCCAGTATCGCCTTTAAATTTGTTTTTCACCAAAGCATCTTTTTCATTAATTAGAAGCACTTGATTTTCAAAAACATAGTCTTGTACTTAAAAACGCTGAACCGCGACAGTCGCAGTACAAAATTTTGAATAAAACTTGGTTCTGATTTAGTGAACGCAAACTGTTCATTTAAATTAAGTTTCTTCCTATTAAAGAGAAATATTCTCCTGATTTAACAAACTAAGCCGACTTAGTTGTAAGTACTGTTGATCGCTATGAATCATATTCAGGTCTCGCTTTTATTAATTGTTTTAAAAACCAATTTGATTTAATTACCTTTTATATTTTCCCCCTCATAAAAATTCGATTAGCCTTAGATTTACATAGCAATAGTAGATAACAATAGGATTGACTATTGATTTATGTAGGTTCAACATCCTTTTGTATTACTCTGATAAAATTCATGCACTTGCGGATTATCTCACCATACGTTATGCACAGACCACATCAAGCTTTTGGTAACGTTGTCGGGGATCAATTTAGCCAATATCGTAAATCCATTGTTGCACATTATAGACTAAGGCAACTTTTTCCTTATTATTCATCGATTGCATGTCAAGCACTCGCTCAAGAGGAGACGAGTTAGAACAACCGATTGAAGAAGTAGAGAGTTTTATTCGTATAAGACACAAGATTGAACAACACCAAACCATATTTACTCCTATGGTTGCACCAAATACAAAACCCCTTAAAGACTACGTTGTTCCATCTGAGGAAGAGCCACACTCAAACATTGTTCCACTTGCAATATAGGAGAACAATTTCGAATTAAAATCGTCTCTGTTGCAAATCGTGCAACAAAATCAGTTCTCTGGAAATCCCACCGAGGACCCAAATCATCATTTGTCAATGTTTGTACAGTATGGAAACACATTAAAGAATAATGGTGTCAATCCAAAAGCAAGCCAATTACATTGGTTTCCATTTTCCTTGAGAGATAGAGCCGTGGCATGGCTACAATCTCTATATGCGAACTCAATTACTACATGGAGTGGACTTAAGAAGGCATTCCTAGCCAAATATTTCCCACCAAGAAAAATGGTAGTACTGAGAAATCATATAACTACGTTTAAACAAGCCGAAGGAGAATCGCTCTTCGAAGCGTGGGAACGATATAAAAACATGATGAGACTATATCCTTATCATGGTTTATAACAATGGCTTATCACTGACACCTTCTATAATGGTCTACTTTACAACACAAGACTAACAATAGACACTGTTGTTGGCAGAACCTTAATGGATAACCCTTTCAATGAAGCCTACCAGCCAATAGAAAACATGGTCCAAAACCATTATCAATGGAGAACTGAACGAGTTCAAGTCGAGAAAACCTAACCCAAAGGAGGGATGCTTGAAATTAATGGAATTTATCACATAAATGAAGGTCGAGGCACTTACCCAAAAGATCAACAATTTAACTATTACCACTTGAGCCATCGTGGTTGTTGTAGCTCCAAATTGCGAAATTTGAGGAGTCCATAGGCATATAGCTAATTATTGCCAAC